ATGTACATTAATAGTATGTCTCCGGACGGTCTTTACAAGAGGAAAAACTTTTTTATTAATGATATTTTAAGGAAAATGCATTTTTCATAAATATTCTTGCTTGGTCTAACATCGTTAATCCCGTTTATACCTTTCCAAATTTCCATACCGTTTTAGAGTAAATTAAAAAACTGTGAGAAAATTTAGGTGAATTTTTTTAAGTTGAAAATTAAAAAAAAGTAAATGTGGTTGCAGTGGCGCATCTGGAGATTGAGTCTGGGAGGGGTAGTGTAAATATTCAAAAAAGTACTAAATTTGAATTAAATTTTTGTTGGAAGGTATTGTAACTGTGGAAAAAATCTACTTGGATTGGTTTGGATATTCTGTTTTAATTTGTATTATTAACTTTTTTGTAACAATTTTATTTTATACAAAATTTCATCTTATTAATTAATTTCTTTCTGGGAGGGGTATTACTCCCATTACCCCTCCCGTATATACGCCCCTGTATAGGGCTTGTTTCTCTCTATAATTTCCTGTTTCACAATGTACCGTTTGTGTCCGGGAAGGGTTCATAATTTCATAGTTGTCGATTTTCGAAAGAAATCAGTACATGTATATTATTTCGTATATATTTCATTTTATTGATTTTATGGAAAGCATTGTTCATTAAAATGTTGTATCCTATGTTATAGGGCTCGTTTCTCTCTACAATTTCCTGTCTCACAATGTACCGTTTGTGTCCGGGAAGGGTTCATAGTTTCATCGTTGTCGATTTTCGAGAGAAATCAGTACATGTATATTATTTCGTATATATTTCATTTTATTGATTTTATGGAAAGCATTGTTCATTAAAATGTTGTATCCTATGTTATAGGGCTCGTTTCTCTCTACAATTTCCTGTCTCACAATGTACCGTTTGTGTCCGGGAAGGGATCATAGTTTCATAGTTGTCGATTTTCGAAAGAAGTCAGTACATGTATATTATTTCGTATATTTTTATTATATTGATTTTATGGAAAGCACTGTTCATTAAAATGTTGTATCCTATGTTAAAGGGCTTGTTTCTTTCTACAACTTCCTGTCTCACAATGTACCGTTTGTGTCCAGGAAGGGTTCATAGTTTCATAGTTGTCGGTTTTCGAAAGAAATCAGTACATGTATATTATTTCGTATATTTTTATTATATTGATTTTATGGAAAGCACTGTTCATTAAAAATCCTATGTTATAAGGCATGCTTCTCTCTACAATTTACACAATGTACCGTTTGTGTCCGAGAAGGGATCATAGTTTCATATTTGTCGATTTTCGAAAGAAATCAGTACATGTATATTATTTCGTTTATTTTTCATTTTATTGATTTTATGGAAAGCACTGTTCATTAAAATATTGTATCCTATGTTATAAGGCTCGTTTCTCTCTTCTATTTCCTGTCTCACAATGTACCGTTTGTGTCCGGGAGGGGTTCATAATTTCATAGTTGTCGATTTTCGAAAGAAATCAGTACATGTATATTATTTCGTATATTTTTCATTTTATTGATTTTATAGAAAGAACTTTTTATTAAAATGTTGTATCCTATGTTAAAGGGCTTGTTTCTTTCTACAACTTCCTGTCTCACAATGTACCGTTTGTGTCCAGGAAGGGTTCATAGTTTCATAGTTGTCGGTTTTCGAAAGAAATCAGTACATGTATATTATTTCGTATATTTTTATTATATTGATTTTATGGAAAGCACTGTTCATTAAAATGTTGTATCCTATGTTAAAGGGCTTGTTTCTTTCTACAACTTCCTGTCTCACAATGTACCGTTTGTGTCCAGGAAGGGTTCATAGTTTCATAGTTGTCGGTTTTCGAAAGAAATCAGTACATGTATATTATTTCGTATATTTTTATTATATTGATTTTATGGAAAGCACTGTTCATTAAAATCCTATGTTATAAGGCATGCTTCTCTCTACAATTTACACAATGTACCGTTTGTGTCCGAGAAGGGATCATAGTTTCATATTTGTCGATTTTCGAAAGAAATCAGTACATGTATATTATTTCGTATATTTTTCATTTTATTGATTTTATGGAAAGCACTGTTCATTAAAATATTGTATCCTATGTTATAAGGCTCGTTTCTCTCTTCTATTTCCTGTCTCACAATGTACCGTTTGTGTCCGGGAGGGGTTCATAATTTCATACTTGTCGATTTTCGAAAGAAATCAGTACATGTATATTATTTCGTATATTTTTCATTTTATTGATTTTATAGAAAGAACTTTTTATTAAAATGTTGTATCCTATGTTATAGGGCTTGTTTCTTTCTACAATTTCCTGTTTCACAATGTAGCGTTTGTGTTCGGGAAGAGTTCATAGTTTCGTAGTTGTCGATTTTCGAAAGAAATCAGTACATGTATATTATTTCGTATATTTTTCATTTTATTGATTTTATGGAAAGCACTGTTCTTTAAAATGTTGTATCCTATGTTATAGGGCTTGTTTCTCTCTACAATTTCCTGTCACAATTAACCGTTTGTGTCCGGGAAAGGATCATAGTTTCATAGTTGTCGGTTTTCGAAAGAAATCAGTACATGTATATTATTTCGTATATTTTTATTATATTGATTTTATGGAAAGCACTGTTCATTAAAATGTTGTATCCTATGTTATAGGGCATGCTTCTCTCTACAATTTACACAATGTACCGTTTGTGTCCGAGAAGGGACCATAGTTTCATAGTTGTCGATTTTCGAAAGAAATCAGTACATGTATATTATTTCGTATATTTTTCATTTTATTGATTTTATGGAAAGCACTGTTCATTAAAATGTTGTATCCTATGTTATAGGGCTTGATTCTCTCTACAATTTCCTGTCTCACAATTAACCCTTTGTGTCCGGGAAAGGATCATAGTTTCATAGTTGTCGATTTTCGAAAGAAATCAGTACATGTATATTATTTCGTATATTTTTCATTTTATTGATTTTATGGAAAGCATTGTTCATTAAAATGTTGTATCCTATGTTATAGGGCTCGTTTCTCTCTACAATTTCCTGTCTCACAGTCGATTTTCGAAAGAAATAATTAAAATAAATTAATTTCTTTCTGGGAGGGGTAATTACCCCCATTACCCCTCCCGTATATGCGCCCCTGTGTGGTTGAAATTTTCCTAAAAATCAAAAGACTAAAAATCGAAACACGTTTATGTTGTAATATAATTTCGTTTTCATTCTTTGACGGATTTTTATGGATAAAAGTTCAATAAAAGTCATGTTTTTTGCTGTTTTAAAATGTTAAAGCACAAAATTTATTTAGTTCAGTATTATGGAAAGGCTGATAGTTATCGGAAATGTGATACTTTAACAACAGCAAAAAATATGACGTTAATCAAAATTAATAATAACCATCTATCAAAGAATGAAATTGAAATGATATTACCATAGAAACGCCAATTGATTTTTAGGACTTCACCAACTTTTATTTCAAACTTTTAGAAATTCAACAGTATTTTCATGTTATTTCAAAATTTCTCTAAAACGGTATCGAAATTTGGAAAAGTATAAACGGAATTAACCATTTTAGAACAAGCAAAATGTTCATAAAGAATGCATTTTTCTTAAAATATCAATAATAAAAAAGTTTTTCCTCTTGTAAAGACAATCCGATGACACACTGTATAGGATATTTTATGTAATCAACTTAATCGGTTCGGTAATATAACAAGCGATGTCCAAATAATAACGCATACAGTATTATTTTTTTACCTTTCACCCTCAACTGGCGTGGTGGGGTCCAGCCGACCCCAAGCACTATTTAAACCTCTGTATAATGTTTACGTTTCAGAATTAAACCTCGCTGCGCCATTTACCTTTAAGTTAGGGTACCAATATGCAACTGTTAAATGCGCATGTGAGGCGTACTTGATTTTATCAAGTATTGTTCCTACCAGCGGAGGCTAAAGTTTCATTGGGGTCTGTATGGCACCACCACGCCAAGAATGTTTCATTATTGGGATGGTGCGTAGACTAAAAAATGTGTCTCACTGGGACGCTAATTTTGAGGAAGCATTAATTGAGTGGTTTGATGAAGTTAAAGAGGCTTAAGTGAGATGAAGATCATCGAGACATTGATTTTTCTCCGAAGAGTAACCATAACTCCGATTATGAATCTCTTATTTATAGAAGAGAGAAAATTGAATAATCAATATCAGAAAAGAAAGAGATGTGGTATATGTCAACCATATGTCAACGAAGAAGTGAAAAACAAAAATCTCATGAATCAAATGTGTACGATCCATGAGCGGCAAATGCAGATACTATATTAGCATGAACTGTATTTGAATAAGTTATGTACATTCAATGTTTGCAGTTTTGTTGAAAATAATTTATGTTTATTACTTTAGCTTCACATTTCAGTTGTTTGTACATTTAATAATACGGTAAAATCATAAAATATAAATGTTTTTAATTTCTATGGGATTCTAAGACAAGTTATATTTCTGTTGTCAAAAATTCCTAAAAAATTCGTTTTATTTAATTTTGGTGTCCGTTCTTATTAAATTGTTGAAAATTAATGAAATTGTTTGTTCACAAGTTTGAATATATTGTAAACAGTGTTAAAATAACAAGCTTTTTATAAAATTTCTTCATCATGTATTTTTAACTGAAAAAAAATTGGGGTCCGTCAGACCCCAGCACGCCATAAGCGTAACAACAATTCACCACGCCAGTTGAGGGTTAAATAGGTCTCATAAAATATGTAAGAATGTTGAATTGGTATAACTTTGTTATCAGTAAAAATCCTTTCTGTATAGAGGAATGTGTCTAAAATTGTACCATCACTTTTGTATAAAGTTGAATTATTTTTAGTAAATTATTATATGTCAAGAGAAACTCTCTTGACACGTTATTGCTGAAGATTGAATAAATATTACGATATTTTCAAAATAACGTTGTTCATTTTACTCAGAGTAGACAAAATTGAGGATATTATGATAGGGGCGCAAATTTAATAAAAAAGAAAATTTACCCGATTGCTCTCCGCTTAGTTGTTTTTGATAGTCGTCGTCGCCATATAAGCCATCAACCAATTGTCCCAAACCGCCTTTCATCAGTCTGCCATCCAACGTGCCGTCGTAGCTTATGTCTTCTAAATCAATATCTGGATCTCGAACTTCACCTCTTGGGGCGTCATATTTTATAATGCTTTCTGTAATAAAAATAAATATTATTATATACGCTATCCACATTTTATTAAGGGTTTCATTTAGTGCATAATTATAGTTATTTATGTCTCCAGGGAATTACAAGGGTGTTAATCATCGAGGGCAAAGATTCTGCCCAGAGGGGCTATTGCCCGAGGTTATTAATAATTATAATTCCCGTGGTACATAGATAATATAATTTCTTACCGAATTTAGTAAGTTTTATCTCATTTTAAAACGACAATGTTACATTTATTAATATTCCGGTATATTGGTATTAAAGCTGCTGATATACAGGGTTGTTTGCCATATACGACACGAGTATTATATATATATTTTTTTATAAGATACAGGGCGTCCCAAATATATAAAAAATATCAAAGTTGTATTTTTTATAGGGTATGTATATTATTACATTTTGTATGTTATTACATTTGTAGTTGCTACGATTAAAATAAAGGTAAATTTGATTAAGGTTGCATATTTAGGTTTTTGTCAAAATACACTAATAATTTTAATACTTCATTTCTCTAGGCGTATTTAAGTTTTTAAAACCAAATATTTTACTGAATTATTTCTATTTACTTAAATTTGTGTTGCAATAATAAAATTGTACTACCTTATACAGAGTATCTAAAAAATTATTTTAAATAATTACTAGCTTTAAACGGCAATAACTTGATTAATTTAAATGAAACACCCTGTATATTTTATGAGAATCAGATGCACAATTTAATTATCTATCAAATTGTACTATACCATGTTTTATCCATATGTTCAAGTTCTCGTAGAAAATGAATTTTCTTATAATTTAGAGCTTAATTATCAATACCTTATATACCCATGGAATATAGACATTTTGGATTATTTTTTTAGATGTAACAAATTGTTGTGTTAAAAGTTTTATCTTTTTTTGAGGAATGCTTATTTATAACAACAGGATCAGGGTCGCGATTGACTATATGGCCAGTCCGACCCTGCCTTTAATAACAATCTCTGTAACAATAACCAAAACACTTGCCAACCAAAATAACATCAACGCGTCCTGAACGGTAGTTTCAAAACTATTACCTAACACCTATCATCTCTCTGCATTGTCTGAATTTCCTCTACCTAGATCGATAATTATTTATGTATATGTCGTAGTCTCATAGTGTATTCCGTCTTTTCATGAAGATCCTAGTCACTTAATGAAAAAAAAACTAACCTAATAACATAACTGAACTAAACTTCATGAAAAAACGGAATACACTATGAGACTATGATATATACAGAGTAAGTTAAAACTGAAAATTTTGGAATTAAAGAAATAAGTTTATTTTGGTTAATAGGTCTCGATATGCTTTGATAGAAATGAAATTCTTGCAGTAGAATGAATGTAGAATGAGTAAGGGGGGGGGGGTAATCACTGCGATCTATTGTGCTTCCTTGAGTTATCACACAATCTATAACCCATCATACCCCTGTTGTAGAGGGGACAGTGTATTTCCCATCCTCCTCTGACAACAGTTCTTCCTCCAAGGGTACACATCCTTCCGCGGTTGAAGTTTGGCCCACTGTGCCGCTCTTCACAGCCAAGGAGCTTGCCTCCGGCTGAGGAACCCGTGAGGTAGAGGCTGGAGGATCTGTCTCCATTTCCTCCACCTCTTTAACTTGGTCTCTCCTTAGACCTGATACCGGTGTTGTCCCGTATCTATAATAGAGGATATGTCCCTCTTTCTCTATTGCCTCCTTGGATTTGAGGTCAATTCCTATTGTGAGGACCTCACCATGACCCTTCTCCCTCGAGTTGATGACTCGCCAACTCAATGTCCTTACATTGAAGTTCTGACCTTGGATAAGGCTCAGCAGGTAGGTGGTGTCTTTCCCCTTGCTCCTCGGCAGAAAGACCGTTATGGCAGATTCTTGCAATAAATCAAGCTAGAAATATTCTTCTAAAAATATAATTACTATTCGGTAGCCCTAACACTATCGTTAATTAAGATAGATCTACCTCAAAAATAGGCCCTTCAATAATTTTCCCATTATCGCAAATCTCGTTCGCCATTCTATCCCATTAAATAATAGTTATCAAAAACATCTAGTATCAAACACAAAACAGGTTTCCTAACGCCTATTAGATACCCTTTTCTATTAAATAACCCCAAATCTATCGATCAAAAGGCTCTTAAAAAGCCCCACAGCCGCAAAAGGTCCGTAATTGCTTTACCCCGAAAACCAAATTGGCCTCGAGCTAGACACGGGCCAAAACTTAACGTATCTTCGTCCTTTTTTCGGCTACAGAAAAAGAAAAGGATATTTTACAAGAAGATAAAAAATTGTGTGTGCACTATGTGTGCATATTGCAAGTGAAACTTCTTACTAACAGCCATTAAATTGAAGGATTTGAAGAATATATTTTTTTTATGTTCGATTTATACTCAAAACCTGAAACAACTACATGTAAAAATTGGTCAAGTGCAAGTCGGACTCGCGCACGAAGGGTTCCGTACCATTCATTGTCTATACAACATTAGACACTATATTATTATAAACTTTTTTTTTCCGATTTAGCTAAAATTTTGAATGCGCGTATAAGTAATTTAAAAAAAATGAAGAAACACATTACTAAAAATTGTATTAATCAATAATAAATATGTAAAAATATGTAAAAAGTAAAAAACAACGATTAAAAAAGTCGCCTTGACTAGGATTCGAACTACGGCTCCAACGTCATAGCAGCGTAAAGTCCAAACGCTTTAACCACGCGGCCACCGAGGACTTGAAAGATTTATGTAAAATTCTTACTTAAAAGATAATGTTTAATGAAAGTACTTTTTTATTTATAAACATTTATTTAATTCCGTTTTTAGTATTTGTTCTTATAGCGGCAACATAGATATATTATCTGTGAAAATTTCAACTGTCTAGCTATAACGGTTCATAAGATAGACCTTTGTGACAGACGGACGGACGGACGGACAGCGAAGTCTCAGTAATAGGGTTCCCGTTTTTACCCTTTGGGTACGGAACCCTAAAAAGTAGCACCGGTCACTAATTATAATAAACATTACCCTTAGAATTACTTCTATTACAATTAATCTCCAGTGGTATACTATTCCATGACAAATAATAATCAACTTCCCAACAGTTTTGAAATGATGTAATACTTCCTTATGATGCGAACAGAAACATTTTTCGTTAGCACACAAAGGACAAACGATATGTTGGCTTTTTTTCAGATTAGTTTTTTGGATCCTCATGTCCATTCAAAGGCGATGAACATGAAATTGTTTACCACAAACATCGCAAATTAAAAACCTAATAAACAATTTTATATCGAATATAGAAATCAATTTAGTGTTCTTACCTATTATCGTCCAAATCCATGTTAAATAGATAATTAATATTTTGGATTTTTCTCTTTTATATTTAAATATATTGTTAAAACTGCTGGTTTTAGTAATTATTAAATTAAACGAACTAAAAAGTCTGAAATTAACTCCTGTCAATTTTATCCCGGTACCGAACATCATCGATACCGCACGATCTACATCTCTGATTACTTTCTTGCAACCAGGAACACAACAAATATGAGGCATAGCACCAAAAACACAGTACACTTAAGCTTTATTAATGAATTGTTAGAGCCTTAAAAAACAGACACAAAAATCATGATAAATAAAAAACTTTTTAGGTTAAAGAACTTACAAAACGTGTAATATTTCGTGTTTTTTTTATGAGAAACAGAGTGACCATCTATATGGTAGTAGTTTATGTCATTTAAGCACCAAAGTAATTAGTTTTTTGCACTACAATAAATAATGTCTAGAATCAACTGGCAAAATGTGAATAAGGAATCTGACCAAACATCTAAGCATGAACAGCTGATCGAAAAAATAAAAGACCACCCCCTAGGCTGATCTATTAATAGAGGGCATTGCCTGGACTAACTTGTAATGTAACAATCAAAGAGATTTGCTAAAAAGCCGACAGTCGAGCACTGTTGTTCGCGAGCCGTTGATGCGAACCGAGCGTTCGTCGATTATTTCCGTCATTGACTAGCGAATGCTCGTTTTGTAATACGTTACATTACAACGCTCTGCTCAAGTCAATCTCCGCCTTTAATTGCTAAATGATCGTCTTCTCTTTTTTCTTGCTCGTACTTGAGCGGAAAAACACTGTTTATTAATTAGGAACGGTCCAGATTTTAATTTTATGAAAAAAAAAGGTAAAACCAAGGTATAAAAGTAATCCTAATTTAAAATTTCCAAACAGGGTATTTATAATTCAAAGCCGGTGAAAAGTTTACTTGCGCAACTTGGCACTTCTAAAAAGCCGAAGCTGTTCAGACTAAGAGGGTTATATAAAAAGTTTTTATGTTCCGTCAGTCCCCCTCTGGGGATTTTATTAAATATACAGAAGACTTAGAAATGCTCGCCTAGAAAATAAAATATTTGTTGACGTAAACCAAAAGAGCACTTATAATTTATTTACGCTATTTAATATGTATATACATTAAATAAGTCATTTTTGAAAATAAGGTTTCCTTTAATATATTCAGGGCGTTTCTTCATCTAAAATGAATATTTCAATTATTCATACTGCTCCGTTATATTTTTTGATATGTGATAAATATTGGAAAATGTATGCTTGCCTCTAGACTGAAATATTTAGGTTTTTGTCAAAATACAGTAATAATTTTAATGCTTCATTTTTCTAGGCGTATTTAAGTTTTTAAAACCAAATATTGTACTGAAGTATTTCTATTTACTAAATTTTGTGTTGCAATAATAAAAATTATACTACCTTATACAGAGTGTCTAAAAATTTATTTTAAATAATTACTAGCTTTAACTTGTTTAATTTAAATGTAACACCCTGTATATTTTATGAGAATCAGATGCACAATTTAATTGTCTATCAAATCGTATTATACCATTTTTTACCTATCTCTTCAAGTTTTTGTAGAATATGCATTTTATTATATTTCAGACCTCAATTGTCAATATACCCATGGAATATT